CAGGTTCTACTCTGTCTTCATGGTCATTATGAGTCGGAATTGACCCAACTGCAACATGTTTTGTTGTTTGCTTATGACTGCCGTTCAAGGAAGCTGTGGGGGATGATTTATAATCCTGGAGATATGGAATGACACGTTATTTACAAGCAGACTTCTTTCAGTCCTGCTATTTTAGAGTGACATTCTGTGAGTTGGTGACATCATTTGGAATTTTTGGAATGGTAAACTAATAGCTTGATCTAGCCCCAGGATCCATCTCCTGTGCTTCATGGATCTCTGTAGTCACAGGTGGGCTTCAAGGAGGGTTCGGAAACTTCTTCTAAAGTGGAGCTTAAATTTTGAGTTAAGATATTTGAATTTCTGCAAAGTGAAAAATGATATCATGTGGGTCCAGTTCACCAAAACGATTAGAGACTTTGCAGTTACTCCAATACCTACTTTTCACAGACAAGCAAACTGATGCCTACAGAGGTGAAATGACATACTTCAAATCAGAGAATTCAATTTGTGTACAACAGAGTTTAGAGTCCTAGTCTCCTGGTGCCCATTCTAGCACTCAGGCACTACATTTTACCCTGAGAAAGATTTGTAAGGTCTCATACATATGACAGTCATAGGTGGACTAGCACAATATTACACAGGTCTTTGGATGTAGTTTCTCAGATACAATATCATAAAAATGAGTTAAAGATGAAGAAAAAGTATACTAGCTTAGAACATGTATATTGCCTTGTATATCATAAAAGTATAATAAATCGATGTTGACTAAATGAGTAATATGAAATGTTGTTTTAAAGTATTAAAAAGCAAAGATTTCAAGTTAAGGACAAAGGTGCTCCTGGTGCCATCCAGGAAGTTTTAAGTTGCCTGATGTTCACGGGAAAGCTGCACAATCAGTTAGGAAGACCAAGAAGAACTGATGGGTTTAAACCAGGTGTTGGTGGAGAATCATAAACACGCAGTGGATGGCCAGAAGAATAAGTGATTTTGTCTCTGCGGCAGTACAGTCTGAATGCTTCTTCAAAGTGAGACTGAAGAGCCTTCGCCTCAGGTGGCTTGGACATGTGTTCAGGAGGGACCAGTCCACGGAAAAGGCCCTTACCATGCTCGGGAAAGTGGAGGATCAGTGACAAAGAGGTGACGACTCACTGAGATGCCTTGACACACTGGTAGCCGCAGTGGGCTCCCACACAGCAGTGATGGTGAGGATGAGGAAGTTCTAGGCAAAAGTTTTGTCCTTTAGGACATGGTGTCCCTATGAGGCCCGCTGGCTACCTGGTACTTCGCAACAACGTGGAATCATCTATTTATGAAACAAGAGTAAATCAGGAGACTGCTTTTGATTAGTACCTTGTATACTGAGGCTTCAAAAAGTTCCTGGAAAAATTCCATAACCTTTTAATTCCATTTCCCGACAAACTTTGGAAGCCCCCTGGTCCTGATGGAATTGCTACGAAAATTACTTTGGGAATAAATATAGCTTTTAGGTAGAGACAGGAGTAGCAGCTAAGGGGATGATCAATGAAGGATGATCATTAGCCTGAGAATTTAAATGAGTAGGAGCCCTGCTAACACAGTAGTTAAGCACTCAGCTGTTAACTGAAAGGTGGGTGGTTCAATCCCACCAGCCACTCAGAGGGAACCAGATGTGTCCGTCTGCTTCCATGGAGACTCACAGCCTTGAACACCCCACGCAGCAGTTGAACTGTGCCCTCTGGGTTTGGTAGGAGTCCGGAATCCATGGAGGGCCAGGAGCATTGGAGTGATTATAATGCATCAGGCACAACTGTGCTAAATGATTTCCCTAAATTACCTCATTTAACTTAAACTTCCCTCGCATTTAGATAACGATTTAGAAGTTATCATCATGCCTACACACGTGAAGACTGAGGCTCAGAAGTGTGACTTAAATTTCAAAAGGGGAAATAATTGGGCAACGAACGGCATCATAGGGCTTCAGACCCAGATAGTTAATTTCTGCTCTTAACCTCTATCAGGGAGGACCCGCTCCCAATGACAAGGAATAAAACTTTGGAATAGGCAAATTTCAGAGAATTGAAAAACAAATATGATATTAATTATGTCCAAGACATTTTGGCTCAAACCCCACCTCCTTGCTACATACACACACACACATACACATTTATCTTTAAGATTTGCCTAAACAGCAGCCCAATGTTTCTTCTTTTGTGTACAGTTTTCCTTGGAGTCAAGAGTCAGCTGAGTTAACACGAAAGAAATATTTTGGTCCAAACCTAAGAATGTGGAAAACAACTCCATAGAGAAACCTGTAGCGATAGCAGGAAAAGTCAACTATGCGGCTCAAGGTGATGACAAAGAACCTTTTAAGCTGCATTCAATCTCAGCTTTGAATTTGGATTCTTCAGTCGAGTGCCAGGTGGAGTTCTACTTATTGTCAGTGCTCACATTTGACATAGCAGTCAATCTATGGCTTTTTTTGTTTGTTTCTTTTATGTTAGACAACTTAAAAAAATAGGCACAACATGCACAACGTATGGTGCTTTTAATTGCTTTTTTCTTATAACTTTAAGGGTCTCCTGACGTGCCTTTCTGGTCCTGGAAAATCAGAGGGCAGAGTGTGGGTTAAGTTCCATTCACTGGAACCAATACCAGGGCCAACCTGTTGCTACTAGTTCATAGTCAAAACTACCAGGACAACTCGGGTGAGCCAGCTGTTCTAGTGAATTTACACAACACGACCGACCGGGGGACCTGGTCTCTCTACTGCAGGGGGAGGTTTAAAAATACCAACATCAGCTGTCTGAAGGTTCCTGAAACAGTGACAATAGCTGTCAAAAACAGTGATGATTGACTGGGTGTCAGTGGGAAGGCCAAACCAGTCCTGCCTATTGTCGCACAGGTCTGGGAGGTGAACGATCTGCCTCTGTTTGGACAAGATGTATTCTTGGGCAGGTACTTTATGTCCCTGGCCCCTTTCATCACTTCTAAAGTGAAAGTGTTGGCCAGAATCAGTGATTTTTTTTTAAAGGAGGAATTCGAACAGTGCAAGAGTTGCCCTTTTCTCCCTGCCCCGAATGATCAGAAAGTCTAGGAGGGCGACTTTATTTATGTTAGTAGGTGGCCTCCCATCATCCCTGACTCACATGGACCCTCATGTAATGGAATGAAACATTGCCCGGCCCTTGGCCATCCTCACAATCAGTCCTATATTTCAGCCTTTTATCTTGTTATTATATTTGAATCTATTTTTGCAGCCATTGTGTCGCCTTAGCTCCATGATGGGCTTCCTCTTGTGTGCTGGCTCTCTATTTTAGCAAATATGATGTCCTTCTCAAGGGACTGGGCCCCCCCCAAAAGATAACTAGTCTAAGGTAAGTGAGCCAAAGGCTCACTTCTAAAGGAGCATTCTGACTGTACTTCTTCCAAGACTGATTTATTCATTCTTCTGGTAATTAATATTTTTTGCCAATGGCATAATTTGATACCATTGTTACGTCCTCAGTTTTCCTTATTCATTGTCCAGTCTTTGTGTGTATATGAAAGGGCACGGGAGACTGATTTTTAAAAAGCATGCTTAATACTTAAATACAATGAAGTTTTACATTGAGAAAACGTAAAAGCTTCTTTAAAAATATTTTATTAAACCTTAGGTCAGAGTTTCTATAGCAAACCAGCTTTCCATATAAGAATTCATATGTAAATTGTGCGGTGTCATTTTTGGCCATCTTCACAATGCCATTTCCACACCGGAGCCCGGTTGTATTCCTCCAGTTTCCTGCTCCTCTCTCCCTTCTTCTCTTTGATTTGGGGAAATGGTTACTGCTTTCCCTTTAGTTTCATCAATTCTTACTTCTAAGGCATCCATTCCTCATGGGCATTATTGTTTATTTTATAGACCCGACCTGTATGTGGTTGAGAGGTGGCCTCCAGGAGTGACTTCGATTTCTGATTAGAAGAATTACTTAGAGTAATAGTCTCAGGGGCACCTTCAGTTTAGATCAGACTGATCACTCTTATTTTCTCTTTTGTTTGTTTGTTTTATAAATTTCAGGTCTGTTCTACAGTTGTCTCTTAGTCTAACCAGGACTTTCTATTTTGTTCCCGGTCAGAAACCAGTAGTGGTAGCTGGCCACTATCTAGTTCTCCTGGTCTTAGACTAGAGGAAGTTGTGATTCATGTGGACCATTAGTCCTTTGGACTGATTGCATCCTTAAGTCTTTGTTTTTCTTCCCTCTCTTTTGCTCCAGACACAGACCAATAGTT